CATCACCTGTCACCTGACCTGTTGTCACAGTAAGCCTTCTGTGTTAATTTCACAAATAAGAGCCTATTAAGACCAGTGTATTGGGTGACAACACAGCTATAAAACTACTTCTTGCCAAGAGGCTGACCTGCTTGCTTTTATTAAAAAAGGCTTTAATTAAATTTGTATGACTACTGTCATTAGGGTTAGTTATAGTGTAAGTGTTTCAGAGTCTGTAATCACACCCAAACCTTTTCAGTGATCTCGGTGATCCAGTTTTTCTAGCTTAGGGTAGAAACAGCTGCTTGGTGGATATTTGGCCTGAGCGCAGCTGTTGTCACCAGTGTAACCATATCCCTGTTCTTCAGACATGACCACCAGCTGTGGGCCTAGAGAGGTGGAGAAGTGAGGCTTACACCTACACCATTTTTGCTTACATAAAAGCGGTGGTCCATCCTTAAACAGTGCCCCCTCCTAGGGCATGTGAAGAAGAGTCTTCACATGGATAATGTGATGTTGTCACATCTTTTATTTTTTACTTTCTGCTTCTAGGGCAAGATGTTGTAGTTTGTGTAAATACATTGTTTCAAAGAAGAACTACAACCGCGATTTTTAACAGTAATGACCAATAACTGTCTACATTCACTGGGCTATTTGAAGATGGGAAAACTTGCCACAGTATAAGTTGACAGGCTCAGAGTGTGGTTGGAACTGGGCTGGTGTAGAGTGATTTGGTGTATTTGTACCTCTAGCATTAATGTACATGTAATCTACCTTCTTCTGGTATTTAAACATGGGAGAAATCAGTAATACTGTCTCTGTGGCACAGTGTGTGACTTAAATGTAATGCTGTACTTGGTTCATCAGGAATGTTTTCCAATGGGATCAGGTCATGTCTGAGGCCAGTTAGAATCTTTTAATATACTAAATGTTAATCTAAGCCTTACTGTCATACACACATTTCTAATGCATTCTGAAGGGCTCTGACCACAGTTGGCTGGATGCTAAAAGCAGCTAAAGTTCATTATAGACAAATGTCAGTTCACTGAGTTTAGGTAACTGCTTAATAAGATAAACCTGTCCTCTGTCACAGGAGAACAGCAATCATTGCTTAAGCTATCCAAAATGTCTCTGACAGGATTGAGGTCACTGAACCAGTAACGTAATTGTCTTTATGGTATTTGGATGTGAGGTAATTGCTCATTTCTCTGTTTCCTTTCTCTTCTATCCTGAATCGTTGGACCCCCTTCTTTACTAATTATGTCTTCCCTTTTTCTCTGTCTGTCTATCTTTGCCCTACCAGGAGAATGATGTTACAGAGGAGGAGTAGCCGGCTGAAATTACTCAGCTGGCCCACAGTTCTACA